AAATTTCTTAAGAGCAGGATTTCTAATGTATGTATGAATCCTAAGCATGGTTTCTATTGCGCAATTAGAAATATAAACCTAATAACATGTTTTCTACCCTTAATAACTATAGCATGCATATTTATCCTATCCCTTTTCACTGGTCACCCTAATACTTGTTTACAATACATTATTACAGACCAACATTGAAATGAAATACATAAGTAGAAATGAAAAATAGGAAGTTACACCATAGGGAGCCTGATTAGGACTTCCTCCCTGAGTTATGTAATAAATCACCTCAAGTGACAAGATTGTTCCATAGCCTTCTCTTAGATGGGTGTGTCAGAGTTCCTTAAGGACCTCAAGGGATCCCGGGCAGTGCTCACACCCAGATTTCATAGCCAAGACAGAGTAAGTGCAGTGTGGAAAGTCCAGCTTTTATATGTCCAAGTTCATAAGGAGCTCAAGGATCCCAAGGCAAGGCTCACACAAAAGGGGCTGAACCTAGTAGTCTAAGAGTATAGTGAAAGTGCAGGACACATGTTTGAAAGGAGTTTTGTTTAAAAACTAGATTGAAAGGTCCATTTTGAAAGCAATTAGTAACAGAGATGGTTGAAAGAAGTTGTATCAGTAAGACAGGGTTCAAACACTTCAGGGTAATACCACACACAGCAAGTGAATGAATTCAGTAATCACACATGGGGTAAAAAGGGTTTGGGGATACATATATATTGACTACAGACACCTGACCCCAATAGGAGTATTAGGACTGGTAGGGACATGCTCAGAGATGGTTGGACACTGGCATAATCACAAACCAGTCATGAACACATAGAGGAGGGATAGGGGATTTGGGATTCACAAGATGGTAAGAGCACATAATACAATCGTCTAGGCATGCTTAAGTCACATGAATTTAAAGGGGAGGGGGGATCATATCAGTATGCTTGGATACAAACTTCACAACAAAAACCACAAGTAAAAGCAGGCCATTAATAAAAAACGAAATAGGAATAGAAACATGTTGTTGTTGAGGCTTTAACTGAAACTAGGACATACCAGTTAAGGAAGAAAAGTACAGAAAGTAAAGCAAGTAGAGTTCCACAGTCTACCCTTGGCTTTCAGCCGGCTTGACAAGCAGTTAGCACAAGTAGCAGAGAGAGAGGAGAGAGTTTTTATGTGTGTATGTGTTTTTTTTAACTAATTGTTCATGTGTTAAGACTGTAGAAGAGAGTCATTTAAGTAGTAGTTTGAAAACTGGTTAAAATATGGCAAGAATCAATTCCTTAGTAATTATAGAACTCAGTATAAAGAATTGGTTCGAATCTCCCTTTGATTAAGGGAGTCAGTGGGATGGTAAAGAGCGGGTGTCAAGTAAGGAAAGAAATCATACACGGTTGGAGTAAACAAATAAGGAAAGATTTCAAAAATAGTACCAGTATAGAACAGGTAATTAAGGCTAGGTTCAGAAAGTTTTCAAACTAAGGAGACAATCAGTAGCAATGCAGACAAGGCAAGGAGAATTAATTAAGGCAAGCAACTAATTAAATTAAGTGGAAAGGTAGGGGTCGAGATTCAGTAGCATAGAGTAAGGACAAATTCATAAAGCCCTGATTAAGGCCACAACTTAGTAGAAAAAATAAATATCATAGCAAAATAGGGTAAGGAAATCAGTCAGCTTAACAGACGGGGCAAAGCTTTTAGGGTTTTTGAAAGAAAATTTTCAATCACCATCGATTAAGAAAACTAGACTTGATCAAGGGGGAGTCATGACTCTATACTTTCAACATATAAATAGAGGAGGTCCGCAAATGTAGCAACAAAAACATATTTGAAGCATAGTCACAGAAAGAAGCAAAAGATGAACAAGCGAAGTGAGCATAGTCATACAAAAGAGACATAGGTAGGCTAGGGATTCAGGAAAACATATTCGAAGCAGAGTAATCACATGACTCAAGTAAGCAGGCTAACACACAGACACGAAGTAGAGAAAGCATGCTAACACTCAGAGAAGCAAAGTAAGGAAAATTATAGAAACAAAGTAAAGAAAATCTTAAAAAAGGCTTTTAAATAGAGTCAAGTTAAAAGCAGTAAGAGCACAAAATCGGTCAAAACAAACAAGGGAAAGGGTTTAATCATAACGAAATTAGTCAGAACATGCGTAAAAGAACTCCAAGAAACCCTAGTTTTAGAAAAAGAATGATTAAAATCGAAATAGTTAGTTAAAACCGGAGATTTTTAGAGGAAAATCCTTAATAATACTTGAATCATCTCAGATCTATAAAGATCTAAGAATCGAGCAGTAGCAAACTAGGGTTTCAAAAAAAATAGTAGAGATAAAGAGAATTAGTTAAAAACTCATGGATATACCTAGATCTAAGACAGATCAAAAGAAAAGTGTAAAATCTCAAGAGTTAGGGTTTTAGAGAACCCAGAGAAGATGAGAAAATCTTAGAACGTTACCGGTTTTAGCCGGAAAAGTCATGGATCTGACTCGAACAGCCATGGATGGTCGGAAAATGGCATGAAAGATCATGGATAGGCTCTTGGAGGGTTTTGAACAAGATATGGACTAGATCTCTTCGAGATCCCTCCATGAAATCACAAAAACAAGCACCCAGGAGATGTAGGAGACAAGTATATGTCTCGAACAGCCATGGGAATCAATGGATCGAGTGAGGATCGAAGGGATTAGGGCTAGTTTTGGGTGGCGGCGGCTAGGGTTAGGACTAGGTCTCACAGAGACGGAGATGATTTGGGGATTGTAGGGCATCTATTTGGTAAGAATGAATTAGGTTAGGAGGTCGTTCAGGTTAAAAATGGTAAGAAGTAACGTAGACCGTTGATCTAGGAGATCAACGGACGAGATTAGAAAGGGTAGGTGGGGTTCGGGGTTTGGGTATGTGTTAAAAGAGTACGGGTCGGGTTTTAATTGTGAAATTGGGATGGGTATTGGGGTCCTGATTTGGCTATAATTGAAAGCCAATTTGGCTATGATTTAAATAACCAGTTTTTCCCTATTTAATTTATAAAAATAGTAAATAATTTCTGAAAAATATTTTAAAATGCTAAAATGATTTACAATTCATAGTTGACAATTTAAAAATACAGGATCCAATTGTATGCATATAAAACACAATTAAACATTAAAAGGGCTAATATTGCGATCATGTTCAATTTAGCTTTAAAAATAATAAATGTAATTATAAAAATATGTGAAAATTACCTTAACCATATTATAGCATAAATATAGAAATCCAATAGATGAATCATCAAAATTAATAATTTTGGAAATAATTATTGGAGATTTTATGGATAAAAAGGAGAAAATAAATCAATTTAAAATCTTAAGATTATGGAAAAAAATAATAAAGCTCTTGGACATGCTTATATATGCATATATATTCTATTTTGAAGGTATTTTGCATATTTAAAATATATATAGAAAAGCTAGGTATCAACAACCGCCTGAAAAATACGATCAGTTTTTAGTTTTCTTAAGTTGTTAATCTTTAGTTTTTCTTAAGTTTAGGGGTCCCGCCTATAAAATAGGGTCAATTTTAGTTTTCTTAAGTTGTTAATCTTTAGTTTTCCTTTAGTTCAGGGTCCCGCCTAGAGAATAAGGTCAATTTTTAGTTTAGTCACGCTTAGTTTATATTTTTACTTAAGCTCAATCTCACATGAGACATCCTAGTCGAGTCTATAATTTTACTCTCATCATTGCATCTTTCATCAATAGCATAGTTGATATATCATATTGCTAACAACTCACAAATCTTCCTAGTGTAAACTGGGATAGAAAATTTTGTTCGTTTGTTGTTTTCATTGTAGGCACCAGGAGCCCGCCTGAAAAACAGGGTTAACTTTCAGTTTTAAGTTCAAGTCAAAGAGGCATCAAGAAACCGCCTGAAGAACGAGGTCAACTTTCAGTTTCGTTCAAAATCAAGCAGGAGGATCCCGCCTGAGGAACAGGGTCAACTTTCAGTTTACAAGTCCAAGTCAGAGAGGCTGATAGGAGCCTGCCCTAAGAACAGGGTCAACTTTCAATTTTCAAGTTCAAGAAGCATCAGGAACCCACCTGAAGAACATGGTCAACTTTCAGTTTTCAAGTTCGAGTTAGAGGCATCAGGAGCCTGCCTGAAAAACAAGGTCAACTTTCGATTTTTAAATTCAAGTCGGAGAGGCATCAGGAGCCCGCCCGAAGAACATGATCAACTTTCAATTTTCAAGTTCAAAAAGCATCAGGAGTCTACCTGAAAAACTGGGTCAACTTTCAGTTTTCAAGTTCGAGTCAAAGGCATCAGGAGCATGCTTGAAGAACAGAGTCAACTTTTGGTTTTTAAGTTTAAGTCGGAGAGGCATCAGGAGTCCACCTGAAGAACAAGGTCAACTTCCAGTTTTCAAGATTCAAGCCAAAGACAGCAAGAGTCCACATGAAGAACAGGATCAACTTTCAGTTTTCAAGATTCAAGTCAAAGTCAGCAGGATCCCGCCTGGAGAATAGGGGCAATTTTTAGTTCAAGTCAGAAGTAGCATGAGCCCACCTGAAAAATAAGGTTTGGAAGCTCAAGTCTACTCAAATTCCATGTTTACTTCAAGTCGAAGCAGCAGGAGCCCGCCTGAAGAACAATGTCAACTTTAATATCACTATTTCAATTAGTTTTGACTCTTTTACTTTATTTTACCATAAAAATGAAAATTACAAAAATATTTTCTTTTATTTAGCTAATTGATATTTTATCTAGTTACTTTTAGTTTATCTACCTTTTATAAAATTTAAAAAAGAATACAAAAATAGTATTGATATTTATTTATCCAAAAAAAGATAAGAAGAAAAATTTAGGACTAATTTTGTCTTATTTTTATATGAGAAGACCGTTATTTTGAGCTTGACTTGGCCCAAAAGAGGCCCAAATCCGGCCAAGTCCAAGTCCCTAACCCTTACGTCCTAGCCTTTTATTTCATTTAATCCAATGGTCCATATTCCCCTATACCCCCATATATAAACTTTATCTTCCACAAAAAATGACCTAACCCTAGAACCCCTAATCTCTAAGAATGGACAACAGCTTCAACATACACACACATAAACGTAGAAAGGAAGGGAACACTCATCATTCTCTGGCTCTAAGAAGCAGCCGCGCCCCTCATCTCTTTGTGAAAATGCCGGAATCCGGCGAGTCATCAGCCATCGGCGATGCTGCTCTAACACCTAGTGTCCCACCTTCTCTCCAATCCACCTCTGCCATATCTTAACCTAAACTCGCCGGAATTCCTCAACACCAGCGTTACACCACCATCGTAACACCATTATCCTTCAAAAACATTCACAATATTTGATCAAGCAGTCACTCTTCTTAATCACCAACCAATTTTTCATACCCTCATCACCACTAAAAACTTCGATAAAAATAGAGTTTCGTCGCATGGAGTTTGGTTGAAGTTTCTGTCGGACTTTTGAGGTCGTATTCGGATTTGTTTTCGATTAGTGTTGGTAATTTGAGAGTTTGAAGGCGATATTGTTGTTGAAGCTCTCCAGTTCGCGGTTTAAGATCTGATCCCTGTTTTCGTTCCTGGCAAGATTTTAAATGGAGTTTGTTGTTGCATTTTAATACCTTCAAAGTTGATGTACCAGAATCGGCGCTGTTCTTATTAAGAGTGAAGACAACATTCTGCTTGAGGTCTAATTCTTCAGTTCTCTGCTCAATTTATCTTCTTTTAAACTTATGTGTTGTTTGTGGTGAAATTTTTGTTTGATCCATGTTAATCATATGTTGGTTGGTTAATTCTACTCATATCAATTGGTTTTGATTTACATGAACTACTTGCTGTTGAACGAAATCTAGCTAAAGGAAAGTTAGTCAAATTAGGACTTAGGTCCAAATTAAGACAAATGGTCACGGTGAATAAATGGCATTGGCAAATTTGGGCTTAACATGATTTCACTGCATTGTGTTTGTGCTTTAGTTACTTTGACTGCTAGGAGTATGCTTAGGCTGGCCACATTTGGGTAGACAAACCTTTATGGCGTTCGTGTTTTAGTTTCTTTTAAGGTGAGAGGTCGCCTGCTTTAGTTAAATTTATCCAAGGAATGCCCCGTAGATTTTGTTTTTTTTTCCGGGGTATGTCCCGTAGTATCATGTATTTTGGAGGCCATGGCTAACTTTTTGAAAAAGTATAGTATATATTAGTATTTACTAATATATCAGGTGGCGACTCTGAAAATCCATTGAAACGCAATCTTTTTGTGAATTTTCATAATTGAAAACTCTTTCAAGCTTTACAAAATATTTTTATTAATTATAAGAGGGTTAAGTGAGGTAAAAAAGGGGGTGTGACACTAGACATGAGTCTAAGGTGACGCCTGAGAAGGCATTGATGATTGTTGCTATTATGGATGACTTGCTAGTGAATATGGGCCAGCACATAGTGGGCAAAATTAAGGAAGCATGTAACGGGAGATCTAAGAGTCTATTTTTTCCCTCATTGATCACTCAGTTGTGCTATGATGTTGGGGTGCTAAAGGACCCGCATGATTCTGAGAAGGACCCTGGCACGACAATTTATTCATTGCTCAGAAAAGGGCCAACTAGCGGGAAGAAGAAGAGGAGAATTGATGTGTTATCCCCTTCATTTGGGTAGTTTACTGAGACTGTCGATGGGTCCAGTGGTTCTTCCACAGTATCAGCAGGACTACATATCCCCATTTATCCACTACCTTATGGACCTCCCACTATGTGCCACCTTTCTAGTCAAATCTATGGTGTCGATGCTCACATTCGTCAACTTGTAGCTGGCCTTCCTTCTGGTCAATCTGGGGAGAGCACTTCTACTGGGACTGGTAAGAAGCCATATTTTGATGATGTAGTTCAGGAATAAAAAACAATCAAAAACAGGTTGGAAGACATGAGCCGAAGACAAGGAAAGATGGAGAGGCGACAGTCGAAGTTCAAGGAGCATGAGAAAAAGAAAAGCAAATTTCTGTCCAAAATGATACACAAGCTGAGTTCAATCTTTGGCTCACATGAATTAGAGGATGATGATGATGAGGATTTGGAACTCAAATTTCCCACCACCTCCAGCTCTGAGTGATGCAGTTTCAGGGAGCACCTCCTTCATTTTATCTTGTTTTGTTTAGTTGCATTGAGGATAATGCAACACTTTAGGTTGGGGGTGACTCATTTACATGTGATGATGTAGTTGGAGCATGATTATTTTTTGTGATAACTTGTGTAGATTGGTTGACGTTGTAGTTTATTAGTGATAATTTGATGTTTAATTCTAGCATGTTAGCATTAGTTTTTATTTTTTATTTTTTCTTATTTTGCTACTTTATTTACTTGTAGTAGTATTAATTAAAATTCTTGGTTTTTCTTTATGCCACGGTTCTTTTCCATGGAAATAATTTGTGACGAACCGGGTGATTTTCCCTATGATGGATGGCCTGACAACTTTCTTAAGAGATTAGTCTTGTCTAGTTTTTTTGAGAAATTTTTAGGTAAATATTTTTTTCTTTTTTTTTAGTTTAGTATCTACTAGTGAATAAATTGGTTATTGGGTGTGATCTTTTTGTCCATAAACCAACATATGGCTTGTTTGGTACAAACATGATCTAAACTTTGGCATATGAAGTCTTGATCTTTAAAATGAAAAATGATTGAAGTAATAATCCTTGTTGTGACTTTTAGGTTCTATTGTTTCCTCTTTGATTCATTAAATAGTCTTTTTAGGCTATATGTGATTTTCTTTGGGTTCATTGGTTTTAATTGGATTTTAGATTTATATGTCACTCGAGTTTGCATGTGCCATGTGGTGAGAGTTGTTATGAGTTCTTTTGCATTATTTGTAGTCTATAACTTTCCCGGAATATGCTTCAAGACGAAAATCCTAGACTAACTTGGTTTAAAAAATGATGTTAGGTCTTCCTTGTACCGTTATTGTGCCTTAAATTTTCTACCCTTGCATATTTTCACTAGTCAATCCCTTTTGAGCCTTTAAATTTTTTCTTTGACAACCATGTTACAAGCTTTAACCCTTTATTCTTTATTGATCTAGCTTTTGGCGCTCTACCTCCCTAAGTACTTTGAAAGTATAAACATAATCTAAAAGCCTAAGTTTGGGGNTATATATATATATATATTTCTTCTTGCTTACTCATCATATTTTTTGTCTTCAAAATCAAGGAAGGTTCCACTATATAAGGAGTTGTGAATAAAGGGAAGATTGGGTTTGGAATAAAAAGTGAAGAAAGGATGGAAATATTTTTGAAGAAAGTGTGCTTTAATTGTCGCAAATTGTAGTGCGTAGGGAGGTTTTGAATCAATCTTATCCAAATTGTACCCTTCCTTAACCAAAAACCTACAGTACAATCCTTTATGTCCTACTTGATTTTGAATCAAGTGTGTACATTAGTGGAGAAATACATGAAGGACAAGCCTATGGCACTACTTATGTGCATTTGAACATTTGTGTGTGTGTGTGTGTGTGTGAGAGAGAGAGAGAGAGAGAGAGTTAATTCTTTCCATTTGATATTCCATTTGTGTTTAAATTGCAATTTATAAGTTGGGATTCTCTCTTAAGTGTGAGGGCACATGAAATTTTGAGTTGTGAACTTAATTCAATCTCCAATTGGGAGGAACGAACAAAAGAAAATTGTTGGTGATAATGAGGCAAATTTTGAAGCTTTAGTATCATGACTTGGTTGCTACTTTGATTAATGTAGTGTTTGAGCACTTGAATCGAAACAAAATTTATGAGAAGTTGGTAATTCATATGCTTTGAATTAATTGTTGGTACCAACCAAAGTCACTAGATTGTGTTTGATTTAAACCTTTTTGACTTGAAATGATATTTGGTATGCCATTGAGCTTAATTGTTGATTTTACTAAAGGATGTTCTTAGTTGTTGAATTGCTTGAGGACAAACAATAGTTTAAGTTTGGGGGTTTGATAAGTTGGTATTTTACCAACTTATATCTTCTTGATATTTAGGCTTTTGTATGATTTTGTTGAGAAACTAAAACATTTATAGAGATTTATTGGCATATTTCATGTATCAAGTGATTTAGAGATGAAACGAAGAAACCAAGTCAAAACGTGTTAAAATGAGAAAATTTAACTGCTGCCAGTGAACACTCTATGCGACCACGGAGGAATCTATGCGATCGCGTAAGTTCAGCAGACTGAAGTTGTGCGAACGCGATTGGAGCTGTACGATCGCGAAGAAGAAAGCCTGGTCAGCGGCTGGTCAACTATGCTACGCGAACGCGGGTCTCTGTACGCGATTGCGTAGCTTTGCAGAAGTTATTCTCCACGAATGCGGGTATAAGTATGCGATCTCATAGCTTATATTTTGGGCAAATTCTGGGCAGAAATGGAATTTCACGTTTTTGACCCCCCAAGCCATTTATACATGGCCTAGCTTATTGGAAACATATCTTTGGCTTATTTTTCAGTCTTTAGACTAGAGAAGACAAGTTTTGGAGCCAGGGTTCTTGCGCACACACTTGGATCTTGAAGATTGGAAGCATTTGGTTGAGAATTTCTTGCCTATTTATATTTATTTCTTCATTTCCTTGCTTTGTATTGTATATCTAAGTGTGTAGTATTTTTTTCAATACTTGAATCTTGTTTATGGGAATATTTATATTAAAAGTGTGGATTAATTATCTTGTTGTGCTTATGTATTGAACAATTTTTAGTTATATTAAAGTGAGTTATTGTTTCTTTAATTATTCTTGCTCTTTAATATTTCCAAAGGGATTAGCTAACCCTAGGACTCGACCATTTACTTTGAATTAATTTTGGGAAAGATAATTTGGGGTTGGGAAAGATTAATTAACAAGAACTTGAGGCTTTATCCCTCACTTTATAGATTCGACCTAGGGATAGGATTGAACTACTTGTAGCCATATTTGGGTGTGCTTAATCTCTTAATTGTTTTAGGGATAATTCAATTAGGAAGTCTTATTAGTCTTCAGAAGAAGCTAATATAGAATTATTACCCAAGTCATATTAACATAAACTCGCTCATATTTATAAAATCGTAAAATACATTGGATAGTTACTGAAAGTAATTCCTCGTGCATCCGTACTTGTAACCATTGATCATTACTTGCTTTCTAGGTTAGTTTTTATTTTCTCAATTAGTTATAAATATTTTCTCAAAATATTTCTAAGTATTTGGCTTAGCATAATAAGTGATAATTCTCTTACACGCCTAATCGCCTACATATTGTTCTCTGTGGGATTCGACCCCGACTCATAGTTTGGTAAATTATATTGCATGTGACCGTGTCCATTTACTTTTTAGTAGTGGATTTGGACGCCATCAGGTTTCATGTAATCGAGTATTTCACCTTGGGGGTGCTCCAGTTCTATTTGTGAAGAATAAAGACAGTTTGATGAGGATGTGTATTGACTACTAGTAGTTGAACAAGGTTACAGTCAAGAACAAGTACCCATTGCTGTGTATTAATGATTTGTTTTATTAGATTCAGGGTGTTATGGTATTCTCTAAGATTTGAATTGAGATTGGGGTAGCATAAGTTGAATATTAGGGCTTCAGATATTCCGAAGACGGCTTTCAGGATCCAATATGGTCACTATGAGTTTTTGGTGATGTCTTTTGGGCTGAACAATGCCCCAACAACTTTTAAGCACTTGGTAAATAGTGTGTTCCAGCCACATCTTGATTCTTTCATCATCATGGTCATTGATGATATATTGGTGTATTCTCGCAGTTGGGAGGATCATAAGTAGCACTTGAGGATCGTGCTCCAGACTTTGAGGGAGAAGAAGCTATATGTTAAATTCTCCAAGTGCGAATTTTGGCTTGATTCAATGGAATTCTTGGGCCACGGGGTGTCTAGTGAAGGGATTAAGGTGGATACAAAGAAGATTGAGGTAGTTTATAGTTGGTCCAAACAGTCTTCTGCTACTGAGATTTGGAGTCTCCTTGGATTGGCTGGGTATTGTCGTCGTTTCGTAGAGGGCTTCTCGTCCGTTGCATCACCTTTAACTAGATTGACCCTAAAGGGTGCCCCATTCAGGTGATCTGATGAGTCTGAGGAGAGCTTTCAGAAGCTCAAGACTGCCTTAACTACAACTCCAGTTCTAGTTTTGCCTTCAGCATCGGGTTCTTACATAGTCTATTGTGATGCTTCATGGATTGGCATCAGGTGTGTCTTAATGCAGGATGGTAGAGTGATTGCTTATGCTTCGCATCAATTGAAGCTGCATGAGAAGAACTACTCAGTTTATGATTTGGAGTTGGCAACCATTGATCACATGCTGAATATTTGAAGGCATTATGTTTACGGCGTGTCATCTGAGGTGTTCACAGATCACAGGAGTCTAGATCACTTATTCAAGTAAAAAGATCTGAACTTTAGGTAATGGAGGTGGTTGCAGTTACTGAAAGACTATGATATCACCATTCTTTATTATCCAGGAAAGGTCAATGTGGTGAACGATGTATTGAGTAAGAAGGCTAAGAGCATGGGTGGTCTTGTTTTTATTCCACTTGGGAAAAGACCATTAACTTTGGATGTTCAGGCTTTGGCCAACAGGTTCGTGAGGTTGGATATTTCGGAGACTATCGGGTTCTTACTTGCGTGGCTTCACGATCTTCTTTGTTTGTGCACATCAAGGCACGTTAGTATAATAATCTCCACTTTCTTGCCCTTAAGGACACGGTGCGGCACGATGATGCCAAGGAGGTGACTATTGGGTATGATAGGGTGTTGAGGATGTAGGTTCGAATATGTGTTCCAAATGTGGATGGGTTGCATGAGTTGATACTTGAGAGGCCTATAGTTCGTCGTATTCCATTCATCCGGGTGCCACAAAGATGTACCATGATTTGAGGCAGCACTACTAGTGGAGAAGAATGAAGAAAGACATTATGGATTATGTGGCTCGATGTTTGAACTATCAACAGGTGAAGTACGAGCATCAAAGACCGGGTGGTTTGCTTAAGAGGCTTGATATCCCAGAGTGGAAGTGGGAGCATATTACTATGGATTTTTTAGTTGCACTTCCATGGACCTTGAAGAGATTCAACGTAGTATGGGTTATTGTGGATAGTTGACCACGTCTGCACACTTTGTTCCAATCATGACTGCCTACTCTATAGAGCAGCTGTCTTGGATTTATATTCGGGAGATTGTTCCATGGTGTGCCAGTGTCTATTACCTCATATCAAGGCACGTAGTTTACATTGCATTTTTGGAGAGTCGTGCAGCTAGAGTTGGGCACACAGTCGAGCTGAGTATGGCATTTCATCCCAAACGGACGGACTGTCCGAGCACATTATTCAGATACCGAAGGACATGTTACGTGCCTATGTTATTGACTTCGGGAGTTCATGGGATCAGTT